TAATTCCTCCTCTTAATCCCACTTATTATGGGATAATAATGTATATATACAACACATGTACTGCAAAATACAAATCATTCAATTTTTTCCTTCAAATTGAAACGTTCCTCCCAAATTGACCATCGATCTCCTGAAATTAACCACACGTTCACCACTACAGCACCACCGGACCCCACAGTTCCCCCTCCACTGTCAACCCCATTAGCAAACAAAACCCCAACTAAACACACCAATCAAGCACCCCCTCCTCCACAAAACAGCCTTTTCCCAGCCAACACCACATCACCATTCACCACCACCGCCACCAGGGGCGGAGCCACCTTCATGGGAGGGCAGCTTGAACCCACTGACCATTAAATACTCCTTCCATGTATATATGGTTCGAAGTCATGACAACTCTTTATAATTTAACACATTGAACCTTTTGATTTTATAAAATTTGGTATAGTTGCCCTTAAGTTTTCTTCGGCAAGTTAGTAGACTATAACCAAATTAACAGCATAAGATACAAATAGTAAAATGTCCTAACATAAAAATATGTTTTTTGCTTCAAATAATCATTGTTTAACGAGATGGAAGATTATCATAATTAAGCTTCACAAATAAATAATGATTTTATAACGGACTCTTTGATTCTATTCATCAAAAGAAAAATTACTGAAAATTTTAGCATATAATCAATTATAGACAATTTATTATATTTAAAATAAGTTCTTATTTTATTTTAGTATGTAATTAATATTGATTTTATTTTTATATTATAAAATATATAAAATCTTAATATATTCCTCATACTAAACTCAAAGTCGAAATTATTATACACACTAAGGGGTTAATTTTTGATTCATATTTGGCCCAAAGATGAGACAATGCAAAGGAATGGCTTCTTCTTCTTCTCCTTCTTCTTCTCCTTCTCCTTCTCCTACTCCTTCTTCTTGTCCTTCTGGGTTAGAACTTTATCCTAACAGGCCAAAATCATGGCATAGACAAAACAATTGTTTAATAGGGTTATTCAATGATTATAGTTAATGATAATTTTTATTTATACAATTTCATCGTAAAAGTTAACTTCGATCACATAACCCAAAAATGGTTCGCACCATCATAAAAATTAATAAGTTTGTAACAATATCACCATTCTCTTTTTTCTTTATTTATAATATAACTTTATGGTTATAAATAAATTATCATCATAAATAATAGTTTCACACCATAATATAGTAAAAATGAATCATAATTCAATACATTGATTTCAATATAAGATACATTTGTAACTTAATTTTGAAAAAAATTCTCTTGTTTTTTCCTTTAACTAATTGTTGCACACGTGTGTTGCACGTGAATTATTTTTAAATTAATATAAAATAAAAATAATTAGAGAAAAATATATATTTATTACTTTAATTGACTCCTTATAGGATGAGGAAACATCATATGTTGGATCAAAATGTCAACTGCAGTCCTCATGTCATCCACGGATTAAAAGTGCATCACTCAAATTTACTTATTCCAACTTGCAATTTGAAAACATCAAGACAAGTCAATAAAATTTGGACAAAAGGATTGCTTATTTATAACTATATAGCCTCTAATTGTTGAACAACTATTGTGCATGCACTAAATATATGACAAGAAATACCTGCAACTGTGACAAGATTAATAATTTATATTAGCTAAATGCGAAAAATAAAACAATCACCAATTAATATTTTGACAAATACGCTTAAACAACAACTAACATATTACACCAAGTTTGCAAAGAGTTGGCATGTAAGTGTCCATTATCCAAAAAAATTTCATTCAAATGTTCATTTTGCATAATAAACACTACATCTGAAGTGAATAAAAATTGAAAAGTTTGAAGTTTCAAAGAGAACAGGTGGTTCCAAAATTGCCAAATTCAAGGTTTGAAAATGCCTAAAGACTCCTAAAAATACACGGTTTTCACTTTCATACTCAAATAAGGATTCATAATATATATTGAAAGAGATATGGAACTATGTAGAGAGACCAGTCTATGAACCAATTGTTTCTAAGTTTCTCAGAATACTAAGAGATTTGTATTTTTCCGATGACAATCGAGAGAGTAGTTTTAATGACATAAATTTTTGAAGGAATTTAATCTGTAAAAAGACAAGACGTTGTAATTTATGCTTCCCCACCACCGCCATTACAATAATATCACCAAAGATTTTCAGGTATTGCTTTAATATTTCAAGCACCAAAATTCACCATTTGAGTCTACCAGAGGCTCAAGGGAAAAGAATATGTAAATCTTCATCAAGTGGATGGCTAATTGTAGTCAGAAATAATTTTGAAATCTTTATGTTAAATTGTCTCACCAAAGCCCAAATCAGTCTCTTCTTAGCTTGATCAAGAAAACACATGCACGCAGGTCTTGGGCAAAGCATTAGCTTCCTTCAGTCACCGATTTGTCAACCTTGGCTCTGGCCCTCTGGAATTTGGGAGAGAATAGTAGGTGCTGGGAAAAGCTCATTTTTTTTTGATATCCAATGAGAATTTGCATTCTGGTTTGTTGGCAATGTTCGGTAATGGATGCTCAGAAGTTCTCCGCCGTCCGCGTCGTCATGTCAACGAATAGCTCCGTTATGATTCTACTAACCCGTTGACCCTCGATCGTCATGTGGGAGAACATAGATTTGCCAATTTGCTCACACATATCTAGAAAGAGAGAGAAGAAGATGGATAATAAGTACTACTATTGAATTTGAATTTCAAATTCTATGGAAAAAAATATATTGGAATATGTCCAATCAACATGACTTATATGAGTAACTAATTTTTCCAGTTTGGAAACTACTTTCAACGTGATATTTATACAAACCAATATGGAATAATAAGGGCTTTTTGAAACTAAAAAAAAAACTTTGGACTTAACTAATTACTAAAAAAATAAGAGTGTGACTTAACATCAAATATGTTTAAGGGATAAACTTAACTCATATTAAATTCCATAAAGAGGACTAACCCTCAATTATCACTTTCAACCGCCTTGCCTTTGGTCGGACATTGCTCATGTTGCATAAAATATAAATGTTGAGCGATGAATGTTTGATTCTTATTATTACAAAGTGTCTTTAAATATATAGTTATTGTTAATCCGTTAATATGTTTCCTCAAAATTACCTTGCAGCATTCAATTACCTCAAAAGGAAAAATACTGATTTAATTTTCAAAAATATATGTGCAGAACATCTAGTAACTCAATTCTCTGTACTTCAATTTGTACTACCAAGATAACCTATGCTATAAGGATACACAAACCAGCAAAACCTCAATTTCACACTCTGTCTCTCTCTTCAAGTGCTTCTGCTCTTCCAAATTCTCTCACTCATATATAGTGTGTATCTTCTCCCAAACCCCAACTCAATCACGTTTTCTTAATGCTGAGAATCTTGATGACTGTGTTGGTGTTTCTGAAATAGATGAAGTAGTACGCTTCAAATCCCTTTCAATATATGTTTCTACAGTGATATTATTGGCAGATGACTAAGAGCTATTGTACTGAAGGAGATGCAAATACATTGACTTAGTAACTAAATTCCTATGGCAAGACTCATCGATCCTTTAAATTTTTCTGTGTGAATTTCTTTCTTTCTTTCTTTTTTTTGTAACCCAAGAACCATTTTAATGATGTGTTTCATGAAGGTGTAATTGTAGGTAAGTTTGGGATGCGTGTAACGGTGCTAAACCACACATAGAAGACTCGAAAGGACGATCATCCTGCTATTTACAGTACAATTTGAAGAGTGATGATGGTGAACTGGTATGGCAAATTGAAAAAGCTCATAAGTTGTTTTTTATTTTTTCCTCTTTGATCTTTGGCCCCACCCCAGTCGACCAACAATTTTCGGACGAGTAATACTGTGTGAGTTGTTGGATAAGTAAGTCTTATTTACCCTTACTACACATCCAAAGAATGTGACGTTAGAAAGTTATAGCCATAAAAAATTACTTGGTTATGACATTTTTGAGATTGATTGAATTTTATATCTATTTGATGGATTTTTATATTTTAAATTTCTTTGAGTTAGAAGTATTTTGATGTTTTAGAGTGTGTTTCCCACGTGCAATTAAGTTCATACGTCCGAACAGTCTTGCACTTTTTTCACTAGGAAAGACCTACTTCTTTATAATGAGTAATTTACTAAGAAAGAAAATAGAGAAAAAAAAATAATATCTGAGGGATGTCACTCTATTTGAAACCCTAATAAGTCTAATGTAAAACGAAAGTTGGTCATTTGGTTGCAATCAAAACTTATTTTATGAAACACTTGTCGATCGGGACAGTCAATCGGAATACTTAAAAAGTATGTCTTACTATATTTATGATCTTGGTATTCAAGGAAAGGAAAAACTTGTCCTCAACCAGTACGTAATGCTTTTTTCTTTTTCCTTCTTCTAATAATTACTACTTCGGTAATGGACTGAAGTGACCGGTACGTAATGCTTAAACACAATTTACGCGAGATTAAATTCTTCGTAGCTTACCTGTAAATCCCGGGTTTATGGGCGGCCATTGATCACAAAATAATACATCACCCAATTTTGCTTGTGGAGGTGGGGAGTTGAAAGAAGTTGATACACATGTTTATGTCAAAGGTTATTGAAGGAGATAAATAAGATAAGCGGATGGAACGGAAGGAACTCAAACAACTTATTGACGAAGGGACAAACCAATTGGATAGAGGGTTGGTGAATTGTTCTCACTAGTTAAAAAAATCTCATTCTCCGCAGTGGACAAATAATGGGAGTATTTATAGTACAGTGCCTAGACAAGTCGGGACCCCGACCCTATCACTCACACAAACCCACAATTATCTCGATTGTGACAATACTAGTGGCCCTAGGCTTATGTGGATCCACTTTTGTTTATACTTGGTGAAGAGTTCATTTTATCACTTCCAGTGAGATGGGGATGTGTTTCGCCCTAATGCCGTGTTGCGCTTGGGGAGCATCGCAAATGGAGTGTCTGCACCATGGGGCATCACAAATTGGGTGTCGTGCCTAGCGGCGTCGAACTGGGTGCTGCCATTACACTATCTGCGGTCGTGGTATTGTTGTCCGTACCCATTCCTACTAGACTCGGTTGGTCCCCACTGCTATGGAAGCTGTTAACTCGTCATTTGTCCCTTCATGACGTAAAAATGTGTGTTAAATTTATGGGGTACTACATTTTGGTTACCAGGAAATGGAAATTTTAGCCAATGTAATGGAATATTAATATTCCACATTAGAAGTCCTTTTGTCTAAGCATCAGAAAAGGATATTATGAGTTCATACGGAGTCAACGAAAGTGATTAATGCGATAAAGAAAATGCAGATTAACAGAGTCATTCATCACAGTATACTAAACTGGGAATATTATGCTTCATTAACAGAGTCATTCCTTTTTATTGATATGAAAATATGGCCAACACTAAATTTGCATTCTATTTTCGGAAACTAGCATTGAAGTGCTGAACACCCAACTAATATACATTTGCTCTTACACCTCTATAAATTCAAAAGCTCCTAAGAGACTTTGCCATAAGAAAAAATAGACATGAAAATGCCGTCTAGCAATAAGCTTTTCGTCTTTTATATTCTATTGTTCATAACAGTCATCGGTGACTTTCTCCGTTGTGAAGCTTGGGAATACCGGCATACTTTTGTTGTAAGTGTTATTTATCTTTATGTAAATGCTTGGAACATATGGGTTGATGATCATACGAAAGCTTTTGAAATGTTCCCCAACAAAGGATTCCACATAATTATGTACATTGGTCGAGAATATGTACATATCATTTTGAACGACTTATAGGCATGTATATGGTAGGCATTACATTCCTCTAACAGAGACGGAGTTAAAAATTGGGATTTTCAAAAATATACGAGGCCATGGGCAGAACTGTGTTCTGACCATGTTTATATTTACGTTTTTCATTCATTAATTATTGCATGGTTTTGGGTACCTCTTGAAAACATTTTATGTACAGGTAAAAGAAGCTCGGTACAAAAGACTCTGCAAATCAAAGAAGATTTTGACAGTGAATGGAAAATTTCCTGGCCCAACTCTGCATGTTCACAAAGGAGATACTATTCTTGTCGACGTTTATAACAGAGGAATATATAATATCACCATTCACTGGTACGACAGATCCTTAGACTTTCAACCAATCACATATTCATAGTGTTCTACATGCTGGGGTTTTGTGTGTAATGCTGTCATTTTCTCAAACAAAAGGGGCAACTTTGTTATTTAGTCGCTCTTTGTCGACTAAATAATGCTAGAATGCCACAAAAAGCAATAACTCGATAGTGTAGCTCAATAATGTGGAGCTAACTCTGAGTGTATGAGCTTTTAAAAGAGGTTTCCACTATAGAAACAACATATAAATGAATATCATGGTGGCTGGGCACACTTTTTTTTTTTAAGTTAAATCCATTTAGGACAAATTTTATTAATAACAAAATTATAAAGAGAGGAGAGGATATAAACATTTCCCCTTATATAATAAAAGAACTTTAAATACAAAATAAAATCTTAACAATGACTTCAAACACTGCATTTTACAGTCAACGAAGAGTTTAGAGAATATGAGTCAGCTGACAGTCTAGCAGAAAGTTAGATGAACAGTATCGTGAACAGTACTAGACAACTAAACATTAATCTGCTGCTTTTTTCGAATAACCCAGCTGAAAGACAGTAATAAGAATGCTGAAAGACAGAATGCTAGAATAGTAGTGGCTGCAAAAGACCTCATCAAGTAGAACCAATCCATAAAAAATTAATAATATTTAAATTCATAGGATTTCTTTGGCTTTGACAACTTGAATGTTCTTGATCTTGTCATAATTATAGGTTTGACTTTATCAAGTGTCTAAGCCAAAACAGACAACTCCTCCCCTTTTCTCTTCTTCTGCAACTCAATCTTATTGCATATTGACAGTAACCTTTTGATTAGATTATTTGCACCTAAAACATAGATGAACTAATGACCTGCAATGATTGCTAGTTAGACATTGGTATCGGAAAATATTTTTTTCTTAATCAGACATTCCTTTTTTACCAATAAAAGTATGACTCCTGACAAATTATTTTGTTATATTGTTTTAATTTATTTTACCATTTTTCACAATGAATAACTATTTTTTAGCACTGTAGCAAAGTATAATACACTTTAAATGAAGAATAGAAATACAATTTTATTTACCCAAAAAAAAATAAAATTGCAGGCATGGAGTGAAGCAGCCAAGGAATCCGTGGTCAGATGGTCCTGAATACATCACTCAGTGCCCAATCAAACCTGGCCACAGGTTTACTGAAAAGGTCATATTTTCCGAAGAGGAAGGGACTCTATGGTGGCATGCACACAGCGACTGGTCACGGGCCACCGTGCACGGTGCTATAGTCATCCATCCCAAGCATGGCACTAGCTACCCTTTTCCAAAGCCCCTTGGAGAAGTGCAGCTCATATTTGGTAAAAATACAATTATTAGAGTTTCTGATGTCAAGTTCTTTTCCGTAAAATATCAAAAAATAATTATACAGTACTGTAATCAGATTAGTAACTACTCCATCTCCTATACCTTTGCACCATTTTGATGGTTTTTTTTTTCTCTTGATGTTGTTGACTGTTAGGGGAGTGGTGGAAGGCAGATGTAATGCAGGTCTATAGGCAATTTATGGCATCAGGAGGTGCCCCAAATATATCTGACGCTTACACTATAAATGGGCAGCCGGGTGTGCTATACCCATGCTCAAAGCGTGGTAGGTGTCACATCTCTATCTCGAATATTTACCAAGAAGATGCCCTTATGTTAATTTCAGCTACTCATGTTGATGGTTAGATTATAAGGTTTTTTAAAATATGAATTACAGAAGAATTACCAAATGAACACCTTTTTTAATTTATCTACACAGTATATGTCAATATCATATCTACGATGCAAAAAAGTGTATTATATATCACTAAAAACCCATTTTTCAATGATTTTAGATGTGAAACGTGCAAACAACCATTTTTAGGGCTTGTAAATTTGAGGAAAAAAAACTCACTCTCTTTCTATTACCTAATATCTAACGCTACGTTACAATTAGGATTTGTTACGGCGGTCGTTATTGTTATTTTGAACTTAGAATAATGTTATTAAGACATAATTTGAGAATATAATGAGTTGTCATCAATAATATGATAATGAATTCATTAATACTATAATGTGACTTATCATTAAATGTATTTTATCATCATTTCATTGGTAACAACTCATTATATCCTCAAATTATGCCCTCCAATTATGTCTCAATAGCATTAGTGTTAAACTTATGTTTTAGAAACAATCACCTCATTTTAAGAAATTTTTTGAAAATATAACCTTCCTATTTTCATTTGTAGACACCTACAAGCTGAAGGTTGAATATGGCAAGACTTACCTGCTACGCCTAGTGAGCGCTGCAATGAACGAGATCCTCTTCTTTGCCATCGCAAACCACAATCTCACAGTTGTCGGAGCCGATGCAAGCTACACGAAGCGATCCACAAATGACTATGTCGCCATAGCCCCTGGCCAAACCCTAGATTGCCTCTTACATACAAACCAAAACCCTAATCACTATTACATGGCTGCAAGAGCATTCACCGCTGGCCCTATTGCATTTGATAACACAACCACCACAGCAATTCTTCAGTACAATGGGAACTACACTCCATCTTCGTCCCCTTCATTTCCTTCCCTTCCCTACTATAATGATACCTCCTCAGCTTATAATTTCATTTTTTCACTTAGAAGCTTGGTTAGTGAAAATCATCCAGTTTATGTCCCTATACACTTGAAAAAAAGATTGGAATCAACTATTGCAATAAAAACTTTTCCATGCTACCCAAATGGTACATGTCAGGGACCAAATGGGACTCGATTGGCTGCGAGCATGAACAACATAAGCTTCGCTATCCCCCAAAGATTCGATATTTTGGAAGCTTATTATTACCATATCAATGGGGTTTACAAGAAGAATTTTCCTAGTTTCCCACCGTTTGTGTTCAATTTTACTGAAGACTATCCACCTTTGTACCTGAACACACCAAAAAGGGGGACTGAAGTGAAAGTACTGAAATATAACTCTACGGTTCAGATGGTTTTGCAAGGCACAAATTTGGTTGCAGGGTTGGATCATCCCATGCACCTCCATGGGTTCAGTTTCTATGTTGTGGGGTGGGGGCTTGGCAATTTTGACAAACATAACGACACCAAGAATTTTAATCTTGTGGACCCTCCTTTTCGTAACACTGCTATAGTTCCCAGGAAGGGCTGGATTGCCGTCAGGTTCAAGGCAAGCAATCCTGGTATGTTTCATCACAGCTGCTCCTATTGTGCCTTCATTGCTTTGGAAAGACAAGGATATGAAGTTTTACAACTCAGTTGTCGGGTTAAATCACCACTCAAAAGGTTAATTATGATTTTGAAAAAGTTATAACCAATTTTAAAATGTTATGATCTATCCCGACCTTTTGGATCGACCCCAAGAAACCCATTGAGTAGTAACCACAACTGTGTGAATTGTAATCTCAACAAATTGCAACTATTAGTAAAATAACAAAAAGTATAACTTTATTATCACAGTCTTTCCCTTGTTTTTTTTGGTTATTATTATGGTTGTGGTGGTGTTAATATTGTCAATTATGGATTTTCTTTACCTATTGCAGGAGTTTGGTTTATGCACTGCCATTTGGATCGCCACCTTACATGGGGCATGGACATGGCGTTTATTGTGAAAAATGGCAAGAGCCCACAAACAAGTCTACTACCACCACCACCAGACATGCCACCTTGTTGAAGCTATATATATATATATATATATAATTCCTTTCCCCGATCTCAGTTGCTACTTATATTGGGTTGCTTTGAAAACTGAAATTGTCTGCATGAATTGCAGACGAAACTCCTATTATTGTGTTATACATTTGAAGCAAATTAAATCGCAATAGAAATCAGCTTATGGTCTAGATTGGGTTAGCATGTAACCCAATGGCAGGCTATATCTGATAATTTATGATATGATGAAGGCTCCTATAAATTATGAAAATCAAGTTGTCCTTTCTTGTAAAGCATATGTTTAGTATCTCTCACTTCTAATTAGATTAGAAGCACAACATAATTGAAATACACCAGGATCATCGTAAGCGGTGATAATCTAGATAGATTTCAGTTACCATGATAAAAAATTAATAAAGATCTCATTCTCTTAAATTGTTTCAACAAGTTTTACAAAATTTAGGACATCATCCGACTCATTTTTTGGCCAAAAACTATCCTTTAGTCTATTTTTAAAAACCCTTTTTTTGTTGTTTTTTTTTTAAGTCTTGGCACTTTTGTAGTTATAAATGCTATGCTCAGATTTCTTTGTACGTAATTTGGAACAATAAGGTTTTTATTTATATTGGGTTGTAAACTATTCAAGCCCTTATTGAAAATTTGAAATAAATATTTAAGAATTGTTTTCTTTACTTTCAATCTTTTTGGTATGACAAGATGCAACATGTTACATGGGATACACTGTAAGTCTTAAGATTGTGGTGTTATTTCGGTTTTATTCAATCTCACTCCCTCCCTAATAGTCTTAAGTGTTAATGATCCTCCGAGGAGTGGCCACTATGATTTTGCTACTATTTTTTTTTTACCATAGAACAACTACAACACTTCTACTTTAAAATAGCATAAGTGCCATAGATTTTGCTACTGGGTGGCAAAATTTTTTAATTCATAAATCTTTGGACGAGACATTTCACACAATTGTTTACTATCAAAAAAGGCAACTGAAATAAAATCCCCATAGCTCTAATTAAAAGATCACAGTTGATAAAACCAGAGATCATTTAAGTCAATTATATATAGTGCTGTCAATAGACAGAATTAAACAACTTGTGATAATGAATGTTACTCCAGAAAGGCATTCCTAAAACGAATGTTAGCAACTGTGTTCTACTCAAAAGCTTTCACTAGCTAGTAGCAATCTATCATCTTCGAGCTGGCTATAAACATTCATTGGTGATTTGTTGGTGAATATTACCATTTGCAAAATAGAATAAGAAAAATAAATGGGACTAAAGAACTTCTGCATCCCTCAATTTCACTCAAGAAATGCATTATACTTCTACTCACATTATTATTGTCGTGTGACGTCATTAATCAATAATAAATCAACATGTAAATCTTATTTAATTCAGTAACTACTATGTCCGTGTAAGAAAATAACCACCATGTGTAAAGAAATGATGTTCATTTTATCTACTTATAGGTTTGTTGAATAGTACTAAGACAACATGGCAATGGTAACGTGTTGTCACTGTTATACCAAATATTTAATCCACTAGTAGATCATCTACCAATACAACAAGTGAGACCCACTATTTATAAATGGTCTCTTTCATTATACACAGTGCGTGATCTATCTGCGAAAAAAATTGAGTAAAAGTGAAATAGAGAGGATAAAAAATCTGAGCAAGTAAAAGATGGCTCAAGTCCACATTCCATAAATCCAGCTGAGTTCTACAAAATTGGTAACACCATCTCTCAAGCATTTTTTTTTTTTTGTTGTTTTACCACATGATTTTGGGCACTTTTTAAGTTTTTTAATTTCTCTTGACTTGGAAAACTAATCAGCTTCTTTGATATTTCAAATTAAAGATTGAGAATTTTTTTTTTTTTTGTCTTCTTACGATCACTTTAGTATTCTACGAATCAACAAATTTTTTTTTAAAAAAAATAGCCCAATTTATCTATAATAATTAGCAGATCTAGTGTAATTGTATCATTTTGGTTTTATTCGATCACGCTACCGACTTCATGTAGCTTTCTAACTACCCACTTAGCAATAGCCCATTACATCTTCAAATCTTTAGAAAAGATATTTCACATTATTGTATACTATAAAAAAACAGCCAATTAAAATCAAGACCTCTCATCCTCTCCCCTGTTAAAAATCCCAGTTGATTAAAAAAAAATCATGTAATAAGTCAATTACATTGCTATCAAATATTAGTAAAGTAGGTACTAAATTGATAGTTTTGTTTATTTTTATTCGTGGGGGGGGGGTCATGGTAGATACACTGAAACATGTGATATGGATGAATGATGAGAGAGAAGGCGGATTCGAAAATTTATAGTTTAGTTACTCCAGAAAGGCATGACCAAAACGAATTTTGGATCACATATATAAATGTTCAGTAATACTATACTGACCAAATTTTAAGACTAAATCAAGAGTTCAAATGACATGACACTTGACTTGGGCTTCTTTATGTGGTGTCATGTCATTTGGACCCCAATAAAGACTTCAAATAATCAAGTGTCATGTCATTTGAACTCTTGATTTGATCTCAAAATTTGATCAGCGTAACATTACTCATAAATGTTTTGGGGAAGTGGGACATGCATGGTATTTACTGTTAGTCAAATTCAAGTATATATTTATTTGGCAACTGTGTTCCATCTCAAAAGCTTCTATTTGAAGCAATCTAATCAATTATACGAGCTGTCTACAATATTCTAGCTTCAATTCGTTGTATCAAATTCATCGGTCAATTGTCCGTGAATAATATCATTGTCAAAAAAATAATAATAATAAATAAAAATAGATGGTTGTAGCATATTTTTGTGACTACGTTCCTTGATCAGGATTGACCCTATAACTTCCTATAGAATACAATTGCTCACATTCAGCTCGTACTCGTCGAGCTTCAAACCAGTGGGTTCAAGCTAGACTAGTTACTAATTCAACAAAACATGGGTTTGGCTCCATTCAGCATGCTTTAGAATCACGCAAGCCATTAAAAGCCCCACAACAACTCTGAGCTTAAACTCATTTATTCTGAAGGAGAATAATATAACTAGGACAAGTGTTCCCTCATGGTTAAAAGGTTAAAACATAAGTCGTCGGATCAACAACATCTAGGACGTTGTACTTAATTAGTTGGACAAGAATGAACAAGCAATCAGTCCTTCCATTGATATTTTACTCATTGTAAAGTAGTTCCCATAGAAAGAAAATTTTAATTGGGCAACAATGTATGAGACAATTCAAGAAAACAAGTGATGGAATGGAACTGAGTCATCAAGGGGCCGTGAACCAGTTTGAGGAAGCCCAACCCACAAATCAACGGCCAGGACAGACCAAACAGGAAGAAAAAATTGGCCTATCTTTTCAATTGATCCGACCTTGATGGCTTTAAATGGGCCATAAGTAGTATTTTTATTGGGGTGTCAACTCTAACTCGTTGATACGAATTCAACACGAACGATTAAAAAATTAATACAATTATTAAAATAGTCTAGAATAATAATATTTAATACTCAGAACACACTAAATAATTTTTTTTTTCGTGAGTCTTGATATGAACATGACACGACACGAATAAGACAACATGCAAGTCATACGAACACGACATAATTGACTCCCATAATTTTATTTTATTATTTGAACTACATATCTATTAGGAGTAAGTATTTACAGTCTTTTAGAACAACTCGTTGATTCCAAGATTTCTCTAGCCCCACATTCTTGCCTTTAGAAAGTAACGAGCTAAGGGGGGAACTCTCAAATATGAGCCACCTTTTTTGTAGTTCCTCGCTGAGTAGGTAATATATTTTTTTTTTGAGGAGAAATGTAAGATTTGTAAGAGTTATGGCCCCCTTAATAGATTTTCTAACTGGTAGATACGAGCTTTAAATTCTTGTGATCTGTTGGCCCAAACCGACAAAACAATTTTTGATATGTCGAACGTGCCAGATGTGACCAGACATGCTTTCGAAAAGGACCACAACCTGTTTTTCCAAACCAAACGGAATGGCCCACAACCTATCCAGAAGTTAGGGCGACCGGTCATGTCTCTTTACGCCAATGGATAACGGCCCACGTCACTGGCCCAATTCCCTCACACTCCTTGTCGTGTACGTAACCATTTGAAAGGAATTTTTCATATTTTGAATGTCGAAAGATTTTAAATTTTTTATTTTGTATTTTTAAATATTAAATTTTTTATATTGTATATTTAATGTATTAAAAGTGTTGTATTGTAGCTATTTTATAAGCTTCCGTTTTTTTTTCCTTCAAAAGTCAACTCTTTAATACTAACGAAAAACTAACAGAAATGTCACGTTGTAATAACATAAGGGTATACAGTGCAATGTGAAAATTTTAATTTTTGAAGATATAAAATAAAAAATTTAAAATCTTTCACGGTGCAAAGTAAAATTCACCCTTTAAAAAGAGTAATGTTTTAAAGTGTAAGTTAAAATTTTTTGTAGGTTAAATTATGACTTTTTCAAAAGTTTGGGATTGTTGAAGATCGGGCTCAAAAGTTTGGCTTGAAGCCTTTACAAGACATTGCCCAAGTTTCACTTGGTACTTACAGAAAAGTGGATGTCTTGTACACCGTAGCATTGTTGACTATTTATACAATTAGTAATTAAGGTTTCGTGTTTATTCTTTTTGGTTAATTATGTGGTCCCTTCTATGTTTGTATTTATCCTGATGTTGTGGTCCCAAAGATTTTTTGAACCCACTACTCTTCGACGGTATTACTTAATCCGTCTTCTCATTATCCTCATATAGTGTATGAGATAAATGTATGCATTTCGATTAGGGTTATATTTTATGATTACAATTTTATCATATGTCTTTTTCGTTCTATCGAAAATTAATTTTACAATATAGTTGTTTATCTCCACTACCTGTAGGTTTTTGTCCAATAGAGTTGTCAAGTAATTTTTCCTTGTCTCCTGTCCACGTGTCATGCTGTAATTTTGCAGACTGACCCTATGCCATGCTCCTGAGTT